CCCATTCATGGAAGAGAAAGCTAAGGCTTGGAGAGGTTAAGTGAGCCTAGATTACACAGGAGGCCTTCTGACTTCGCTCCAAAACATAAACCATAAAACATACAGCCTGCCCAGAACATCAGTACCTCCTCTCCTGGTCTAAAAGGCAGTCACTTCCCCCAGGGAGGCACTGGTTCTCCATTTCTAGCCTTCATGAAGCCACAACAGGCTGCATGGAGAAGTGGACGATGGCCTGGGCGCACTGTGGCAGTGGTTCCTGTGCTGCCCAGGAACGTGACCCCAATTCCAGCAGCCTTTACACTTGGAAGAAAACCAAAAGCTAATACTACAAACTGGCAGCCCAAAGACTGTTTTTGGGGCTGGCTGGATGGCTCATTTGGTTAGAGTGTGAGCTCTGAACAACAGGGTCGCTGGTTCAATTCCCACATGGGCCAGTGCGCAATGCCCGAGCTGAGCTGGCGCTGAACTGCCAACGGGAGGCCAGAAGGCTCTCCTGATGACAGCATGTGCTCTTAACAACAAGGTTGCTGGTTCAACTCCCACATGGGATGGTGGGCTGCGTCCCCACTGCCCTTGTGCCCCCCGACAACTAGTTTGAAAGCAGTAACTGGACTTGGAGCTGAGTTGCAACCTCCACATTAAGATTGAAGGACAACAATTTCACTTGGAACTGATGGTCCTGGAAAAGTATAATGTCCCTTCCCCAACTCCCCAACACGGTTCCCTTTCCCAGTTCCCCAGTAAAATTAAAAAAAAAAAAAAGACTGTGTTTGGCCTGCAGAAATGCTTTGTGTGACAGTGTTTAAAAATACATTTCTTGGGCCGGCCAAGTGGCATGTTGGGTAAGAGCTGGCTTGAGACACCAGAGGGCCCTGGTTCGGATCCCACATATGAGGGCCAGAGACACTGCCCTCTACAGCTAAAATGCTGAACAACAGCTCAACATGGAGCTGGGCTGCTTTGAGTTGCTGGTAATGGCGTATAATGCAACCCGAGCTGCAGTGGGTTGCCATGGGCTACCGTATGTAGCCAGCAGCCAGCATGAGCGGCCAGCAGCCGCCGTGAGCAGCCATCCAGAAGCCGGTGACTGATCTGCCTCACCTGGGAAGAGCGCAATGATGGTGCCAATTTGGGCCAGTGAAGCAACGTCCTCCACAACTAGACTGAAGAACAAAACGACAGCAACTTGTCTGTTTCCCTTCCCCCAATTCCCCA